CTCAGGACGTATTTTCACTGTATACATAGTGGCACATCATTTTTCCCTGATGTCACTGAAGGAAGCAGCACGTTTGAGGCGTTGCCTCGAAATAGATCCTCAGGGGTGTCTTCTTTTAACTCAAACTAGATCGACAATATTATGGTGCCATGATGTCGTCCACTGGGCTTTCTCAAAATGGATAAAAGGCATGGAAATTTTTATATGTGAAAAATTCAGAATGTGAAGAAAGAGCTAAAAAAATATCTCTCATGATTCTGAAAATTAGCAGATAGAAATGATTTTGACCTAAAAATTGAATAGATTAAGACTTACCTAATGTCTGATGGGAAGAAAGAAAAGTTTTTTTTTTCTCAGTATATGTGCAAATACCTGGCTACATCTGTATGTTTTGATGCATAAATCAGGGTAGTCTTGGAATTTCTTGAAATAAGCATATACTTAGCAAAAAGGGGGGGAAACGAGGGTCTGCAGATCAGATTTTATAGGAATACTACATTGGTAAAGAAAAGCCTGATGGATGTCTTCTGCTCATTCAGATTGTTGTCTTATCCTGAGGTCTCTTGGATTCCGGTCGCTCAGGTACACACGCATTCACACGCACTCCTATCATCCCGTCTCCCACGGGAACACATCAGCTTGTGCCGGGGGAGGTGGGAGAAAGGCAGAAGTGCCTCTGAAAAACTCTAATCACATGCTTCTGAATGTACACTTCCTACACCGTGAGTCTATTCAGGCGCTGAATGAAAAGGCAGCGCGCGGCTGGATGTCAGGCTGCTGCAGGAACCGACGCTTGCTCTGCGCGCTCCGACACCCACAGCCTGCTCGGAGCCAGTTCCTCCCGTCACGACAGGATTCGCTTTGTGAATGGAGAGAGTCGTGATGAGGGCGTCATTAACTCGGCGAACGTCGGGACAATGCTGTCGATTATGTGCAGCTGCGAAGCCCGATCCGGTGAATATGATCTGTGGGTTCGATGTGACACGGCCTATGCATTAATGAAGACTTCCTCCAGGCGCCATTTATACATTACATTATATAAACTGTATGCCTGAATTAGGAGTGGGTGGCCACATGTGTCCAATGTACAGATGATAATGATCAATTCTGTTTTTGTCAAATTTGAAATGAAAGAGAAAGTCCAGTTAAACCCCTACTAGCTAACTAACTATTAGCAATAGTTAAACCCCTATTAATAGTTAGTTAGTTAGTTAGTTAGTTAGTTAGTTAGTTAGTTAGTTAGTTAGTTAGTTAGTTAGTTAGTTAGTTAAGTCACTGAACTTCCTGATCAGGTCATTTGTCGATCCACAAATAAGACAAAGAAGTACGAACTACATCTGAAATTATAAATTGAATATTTTCCACAAATATTTGAGGTATTTCTTGTTCACTTTGCAAAACGGATCATCATTACAGCTGCCTGACCGGCTTTTTATTTTAAAATGCCTTTCACGCAAAGGAACACAAGTCGTTATGACATTGTTCAATCTCTGAATTTTCACACTTTTTCACGTCATAAACAGAAAACTTCAACCTACTTTGTTGAAGTGATGTACCAATACATCATTGTGAACTGGGAAGAAAATTGTTTTCAAAACTTTTTGCGGATAAAAACAAAAACAAAAAGTCCAGCGTGGTTTTGTTGTATTCAGCACCTGTTACTGAAATCCTTCAATTAATGTCCAACTAAGAGTCAGACTGTGGCTGTTTGTTAATCTCACCTATTCTGTGAAGGCCTTTGAGGTTTGACAGGAAGATTAGTGAGCAAATATCAACATGAAGAACAAAAGTGGGTTATTATGCATTTTCCAATCACATAAAACTATTTCATAGTACAAACAAGTAACTACATTACTTTCAGTCGTTATCAAAATCCTGTAGAAATAAAAACAATTTGACTTCGCCGCGTCTGATTCCTTGTTAAATTGGCCTCTGTCGCTTTGAGAAGCTCGTACCCTTTCTGACACTCGCATTTTCAGCTCGTCACCACGACAGTGCTGCTCCATGATACCGCTTACCATCAGCATCACGGAGCGTCGGACTGAGAAATAGTTCATACGACCAGCTCAGCAGACGCGCGGTTCCACCAGGTGTTTGCAGACGCTAGTCTGGAGGAGCTGAGCTCAGCCTGAGACTGAAACTCCAAGGCGGAGCTTTGAGCAAATGGGCGGAGCTTTATATGAGCAACAGTTTAGGCACCTGCAAATGAACACATTTCTCAAACTATGCGCAGAAGAATTAAAGCACCACTCCAGGTATGTTTTGGATGAGCGGAATAACACCGTGGCAGAACATAAAGTTCCAAAAAGTCTAATTTGCATAATGGAAATAAGATTTCCCATGCTCTTCTTCACTTGTTAGAAAGCAGCACGTGTTTCCATTTGGGGCTAAATCAAGGTTTGGCATTCAACAACAAATTATATTCAGCTGCTTGGGGGACCCTCCTTAGTTTCCCTCTCAGCTATTAGCAGGTGAGAACAACTGGCCACCTCTGTGGATCACTATTTCAGACATTTTCTTTTTTTATTTTTAACTCTCAAGATGACACAACAGAACAACAGGCTCCCATAGGTATAATCACTTAGCCGAACATATTCCCACAGGTTCCACTCAGACTGTGAGCTTCTCTCTGCCGTTTCCTCCGCCAAACTGCACTGCTGCGCGTAGCAGCACGAAAGAGAAAAGCGAGTCCGCAAACTTGGGTATCGACAGTCCCCGCTCGGTATGGAGTTGCGGTGAGCTATTATTAGCAAAAACAAGCCAAAAGATGAGGCGGAAGCTAACGAACTGCACTGCAGCTCAGATCCATTATGCCGTATTCAGTGTCTACAGGAGCGGCACTAAAATGGCTGATACTCAACGTGCAGTGAAGGTCAAGTCTCTTGTCTCTATAAATATAATGGTCTGTCCCCCAGGATGTTCCACACACACACACACACCGCTTGGCGTTTTTCCACTATCTGCAGCTCTGCTCAGTGCTGACTGGCTCAGATGTACCACAGAGCTGCATGTGATCGAATGCCACCTGACTACGAGCGGGCCTGACATGATCTTAGAGCTAAAATGGATGGGAGGAGGAGGAAGAGGAAGAGGTGGGGGGATTATTTATGAATGGAAAGAATGAGGTTTTCCTCTCTGGCTCGCTGGTAGTAGGTGGTCATATGCCGCCGGAGAGAGAAACCCCTGACAAGGAACAGCAACAAGGAGAACAGTGACACCTGAAAACCAGCTCTTGTTTGTTCATTGTTTTCTGTTGTTCAGAAACCATCATCATCATCAGCCGCCCTGCTGCCCCCCCAGACCCCCCACCCACTGTCCTCCAAGGAGCACGTTCGCTCTTCGCGCACGCAGTCGTTAACAGCTGTACCTGAAAATAATCTCACACGACTGTGTGTTTCCATGACAACCGCGCCAGCATCTGAAACAGTTTCCCTCGTCCTCCGTCGACGAGTATAATTACCGCCACAGACTGCAGCACAAAGATAGAAGAAACGAGCGGCCAAGAAAAAGAAAGAGGACTTTTGGCTGTGTAACAGCGCGTAATCGCAAGCTCTGATAGACGTCCCATTTGTGCCACTCAGAGAGTCACCTTAGACATAAACTGAAAGGAGGATAAAAAAACAACACTTAAGTAGAGCTTGAAACGCTGTCGTGACTGAGGTGCTGGAAATTTGCCCGCATGTTCTACTGAAAGTTAATCAGACTGAGATATATGGAGGAATCGATGCTTAATAAACTCATTTGAATATTCTTGATCCGATTTCATTTCGGTGTGGCTTCAAGGAAAACGTCAAATGTCTTACTCTTGAAACTCTTATTCAGTTACTCTGGGGGAGCTGCAGAGATCTACAGCTCAGATGGAAGAATCTGTAAACAGGATACAAATCATTTGTGCACCTTTATGGAAAAAAAAAAAAAACAACAACTTAGTGGTGGCAGGGTCATGCTGTGATCGAAGGAAGCTGGACAGAAAGAAAAGAAAGGTGGATTGAAAGTACAGGGAAAAATAAGATCAAAGCTCATCCATGTCCCTAAATGGTTAATTAAATGTCCAGAACTAAATCTGACTGTGAGATTAATATCCATACTTATTTGGCTGAAGATAATAGTCAAAACCAGTAAGCTAGAAATATACAACACTGGTAGGGACATACAATAAATAGCTTTCCAGCTCTAACTGCAACAAATGGCAGTACAAGGTATGAATCTCAAAATAAAAGCACACCACACTTTTCAGGGTATGCTTTGGCCAAAATGCTGAAAATAGCCGGCCACTTCAGGCTTGTGTGCTGCTTTGTTGTGTTGATCCATCAGATAAAATCCCAAGAAAACAAGTGAGAAACACAACAGGAGTCGTTTCCAACTCGTAACCGAGTTTCTAAAAGTAAACACAGATGTTACTTTAACATCAGTCTTTAGGAATCAGTTTTTAGCCCATCGGGCTCTTTCACTGATTAGCTTAGTTAAGGCTTAATGTGACTTTATTAAGCTAACAAACCCTAACTTCCTCAATGATATAACATCACATTTAATCCAGAGTTTTATATAAACTCACATGCATTATTTATTTATTTTGTTTTGTACCCTCCCTGCATGCAGACATGCAGCTCTGACATCCTGCAGCGGTTTCTCTCGGCACAGCATCCTGACAGCTCGCTGTTTGTTTTGGGGATCAGCAGCAGTCATGTGCTGGGGGGAAAGCCTGGGGAACAAGAGAGGGGCGGGGGGTCTCTGCATGGACGTGAGAACCCCTTGCAAACCCCCCATCTGCGCGTCATGGAACATTTGCAGAACAGGGACCTCCCACCTTAAAGGCGTGCAACAGAGAGCAGACACAACAGAGTGCGATCTGCCCTCCGCCGGGCGCAGCATCTCGGGTGACGAGCGCGTGCCCGGGAGCCGCCGTGGCCTCAGCGGAGCGACAGGAAACCAGCGACAGCTTTCCGCGAAATGCGGCCCCCGCTGGGAGACAGTGAGCTGCCGGGCCGAGCGAGACTCACCGCACGAAGACACGGGACACAGGCGCCGTTCACGGGAGCGACGGGGCGGCTGGCGGTTCGGCTGGGTCATCTGCGGGCAGCCGAAGGCGCAGAGCTCCGATTGGAGCCATCGGAGCTGGCTGTCAAACGTCCCGCTGCTGTTGCGCGTATGGCCAGCAGAGGGCGACAAAGGAGGCGATAGCAATCATAGCATCGCGAGCACTTAGAGGAATACGGAAGGCTATTATTGTCACGAGGACGACAAAAAAAAAAAAAAAAAAAAAAAACATGGAGTCATAATTATGCAAGGAATTATAAAGTAACATTTACAAGATTTAAAATTCAATATTGAGATGTATTGATCTAATTATGGCATTCAAAATAATAATCCAATTTCAATTCAATTAAATTAAAACATTATTAAAGACAGTATCCTGGATAGTAGAGATAAAAAAAGGACAAAAGGAAAGAAGAGAGAAAAAAATATACTATTGGGAAAAAATTTAATATTTTTCAAATCATGTTTGACTTTAAAGTTTTCATTACAAAGTAATATTTTGTCATTTTAAAGTCAAAATAACTGACTAATAATACAAGTGAAATAATAAGTATGACACAATCTTAATTTTGAGATCTAAAATCACATTGACTTTAACAGTCAGTTATGAGATGTTATTTAATTATATACATAACAATGACACTCCAAATTATAATTGCTCCTTTACAGACGAGTTACATTTAAAATGATGTTAAATTTGAAAGTGAATTACAAAATAAAATCAAAATGTTTATCGGACTGAAGTCCTAAAGCAGAACCGTAAATGCAGAATTTTGACTTTTAAAAAATAATAATAAATAATAAAATATGATAAAACATAAAATCACAATTCTGTTAAAAATTAATCTTACCTTTCAGTCATATTTAAAGCTATTAAATGATATCATAATTTGGACTGCAGACCTTTTTCTGTCAGATCCAAATGACGTATTTATTGACTCGCATAGAAAAAGACGGAACGATCACAACATGACCCAGTAAAAGATATAAGAAGATTTTATTAAATAGTTCAGAAATTTCTTAAGTGCAGAAATCTGTAATCATCAGTGCTGATGAAACTCGACTTTCTTCATGAGATAAAAAAATATATATGTGTGTATATATATATATATATAAATCCAGCATGGTTGATTTTCAGAGTTGATTTTTTGAAAATATACAGTCAGTGGCGGAGCTAGACTTTTTTTCAATGGGTGGCCAAAGGGTGAGCAAGGCTTTATCAGAGGGTCCATATACAAATGATGAACGAAAGGAAACAAATATTTGCTCACACACAAATTAAAATGGTTTATTTAACAAAGATTTGCCATGACCAAACAAGACGTTAAACGGCACTATGGAACAGTGAACATGTAAATGTAAACTCAGAGCCCAGAATATGACCAAAAACAAATTCTCAAAAATAAATAAATAAATAAACTGGTGCTTTTGGTGTGCAATATGTTGTGCTGGGTGGGGGGAGTTCAGTACCATTTCCTTCTGCTTCACTGTCTTCCTCCCCAGAGTCTGACTCTGAATCTGTATCACCCTCATCTCTCTCTGGAACTTAATTGGAAATGCATAAACAGACACAATAAAAAATGCAAAAAGCATCATGCTAACCTTTAGAATTAGGCTTATTGGATTTTAATACTTAATAACTCTCTGTCACAACCTCTAACCCGTTGGTGATACACTTGGGCCTGGAGTCTCCTGGTTGGTCACTGCTGCAGGGTTCTGTCTGGTCCTGGTCACTGCTGCAGGGTTCTGTCTGGTCCTGGTCACTGCTGCAGGGTTCTGTCTGGTCCTGGTCACTGCTGCAGGGTTCTGTCTGGTCCTGGTCACTGCTGCAGGGTTCTGTCTGCTCCTGGTCTGGCCCTGGTTTTTGCCTCTTTAAGAAGAACTGGGACATATTTCCTTTTCTCTTCATTTGGACTCTACACAAAATAAGACAGCCTGGTATTTAGACTCCATGACTGTTTGGCAGAGACAACACTATTTTAACTATTATTTAAACTATAGTTTTTAGTTTTCTGTAGCTAGCTAAAATACTAAATTAAAAATACATTAATTAAAATTAATTAATATAACTAGTGAGGTTATAATTCAAAGCTTTCATATGACATAGCCTACTTACATTTCAGTCATTATAAAACTTAATGGTTTTTCACATATTCTTACCACACATTTCAAGCAAGAGCTGGGAGATAAAAAAACATTAGAGGGCAGCATGTGCACTAAAACATATGTTAAAATAATCTGTCTGAAACACGATCTATCAGCACTAGCATGGCTAATATAATAAACGAGGCACTAGCAGCGGTGCACAACCATTTTTTTTTTCTTTTTAGAAATGTATGACAAGTGCCGCCTCTCATTAGGAAGGTAACAGCGGTTACCGCTGAGCGGTAAAATGTTGTAAATACCTGCAAAACTCCTCGACCTTGTAACTCTAAAGCCGGTGATGTGTTTTGGATCAAGCAGGATCCACATGTCAGTTTAACCAATGAACAGCGTCAGGCATCGGGCTGCCTTCAGGGACAGTCGGAAATTACAGTTTTCCTCGCAACTCTTTGCCGATCTCATAAGTATTATATTTTAAAATTACCATTTCCAGTGGGGTGGCAGTAGGGTTGGCCAGGGGTATGTTGGGGGTGGCAAGTGCCACCCCGGCCACCCCTCTGGCTCCACCACTGTATACAGTACGTATAAAACAAGAAAAACAGATTTAAGGTAAGTCATTCAAGAAGAAGAGCAGAGACTCTCTTCTGGCTGGCAGCGTTGCCACTTCCTGTAGGAGTGAAGTGGTTTTCCTTCAAGAGGCTCCTGTCAGCTTCAGAGTCCAGGCCCACTGGCACGGCATCTTCCTGACAGGCAGCGGAGGCAGAAACACCTGCAGTCCGCTGGGCTGCACAGGCGTCCACTTCAGAGGGCCGTGACCCACGAGCTCCACCTTTGTAAGTCCAGAGACGAAGTACAGAGCACATTAACAAAGAGCGTTAATGGTTCTGTGCAGGTTCTAAATCATTTAAAAGTAACCTCAACATTTGTAATTCTACTCGGCAACCGATTTTTTTTTTTTACCTGCGTCTGTTTCTGGGTTACCACGGGTTCGTTCAGGATCACCAATCCATCATCCGGCCACTCCAGTAAAATGGCGAAGATCGCCTTTTCCTGAGGTTTGGATGTGTACCTGCGGAAGATTTATATATTTTGCTTTCAAGATATTTGTTCAACTACCCAAAACTCCTCAAGTGGATAAGTTTCAGCTTCATCCAGTCACAATTCTGTGGGAACAAAAAACTTCCAAAAAACAAAAAAAAATCCCTTTAATCCGTCTTTGCTTTTTTATCATTAATAAAAAAACACAACAGCAGAAATGTTGACATTGGTATTTTTTCCAGCTCTCTTGCTATAAACGGTACACCAAAGGAATGCTCTGTTATTGCATCCCATGCAATAAATGTTTCTTCTCTTATTTAAAAAGAAACTTAATTATTTGCTTATTTAAATGTTCGTATGTACGTCCAGTACTGCATACAATAGGCATCTGCCGATGGTGTCGTTTTTTTTTTTTTTTTTTTTTTATCCGATTACCTGATTCATCGTCAGAACAATCAACAGAATACTCGACAACTGCAGTAAATGTTTCGCCCACCAGACGTTTTTGGTTTCGTTCTCCTTCTGAGCCCGCCACGCCGTCGTGTTGTAGATGGCCTCGCCGTTCACCTTCAGCCACTGGCCCATCTGCCTGAGGCGCTCCTCGAAGATCGGGGAGATTCTGCCGTCGTGCGTCGGGCCCACGTTCATCAGCAGGTTCCCTCCACAGGACACGGTCTCCACCAGGGTCTGTCGGGACACACACAGGAGGCAACGGCAGTAAGAAATGTGACTGGAGATGGGAAATGAAATAAGGTAGAGTGAAGAAATATCCTAACTTGGAGGGAATCCTTTGTTCTAATGATACGATGAAGAGACTCGGGGGTTCCCACACTTTTCACACAGTTAAATTTAAAACACTTTTCAAGCATTTTCAAGGTGGGTTTTCAAACTTTTCCAGAAAAGGTTCCTGAAAAAGTTTGTTTTGTTTTGTTTTGTTCACTCCTTTGCTGCGCTGAATGTCCTTCAAAACCACCGACACATCCAGCAACCTGGGCGAGTTTCCAAGGTGCAGACAAAATACGCCAACTGCCCACCCAGCCAAGAGAGAGAAAAAGGTTTCTGTATTGCAATAAAAAGCTGTCCGACCCAAAACAAGGCACTCTTTCCAGTTTTATAAATGACCGCAAAGAAAACCAAGACGAAAACTTTCCAATTCTCTTCTGCTGTTTTCTGCTTCTCTCGAAGATTAAAACATATAACAGTCGTATACAGGCATTATGAGTGTTGATCCTAAATAAACATCAATCCAGGGTTTCTCTAAGTGATCTAATCAGGTTCCCCCTTTATGTTGCGATACGTTCTTGTCTTCAATATAGCCTGACATAGCTAGACAATGCTTCCAGCTCACTGAAACATAAACATTGAATTCAGGATGTATAAGTGAAAGATTACAGCAACAGAAGTTCATTGTTTAGTGAAGGAACTTGGGTCTGCTCCCTTCAGGTAAAGAAAGTTCTGGGTTTCTCACCGCCACGAGCTCCTCGATGCCGATGTAGTCGCTGAGCGGAGCGTTGCGTCTGTAGCCCCAGGACTTGGAGTCGATGGTCATGCAGTTTTCCCATTTGTGATTGAGCAGATGTCCTGGCTGGTAGCGGTCACTGCAGGTGTAATATCCACCGTGTTTGCAGATGGAACCGGAGCCCCAGCGATCGTTCGTCACAACCGTTTCTTTTACCGGGCTGTCAAACAAACACATCACATTACGTCCGTCGATCAAAACAGCTGACAGTTTCCTCGTTTGCAAGCCTACCTGTCGTTGTAGAGCCAGGCCAGGAAGCCCGTGCTGTTCCAGTATTTGTCGGGAGCATTTCCATCGCCGTCAGACCACAGGACCTCTGGTTTGTACTTCGAAACAAGGTCATAAAGCTCGGGGAGAGTTTTAGTGGTAGGGAAGTAGTTTGTAGTGAAGACGTTGGCGGCATCTTGGTCAAAGAGCGGGTTGAACCACTCAAATAGAGAATGGTAAAGCCCCAAACGAAGGCCACCCTGGGCGCGCACGGCACTCGCCACTTCATCCACCAGGTCTCGCTTTGGTCCCACGTCCACAGCGTTCCAGTTCCAGGAGTTTTTGGAGCCCCAAAGAGTAAATCCTGAAAAAAAAAAAAAAAAAGCAGCACAGCTCGTGACATCAACACAATCTGCAAAGGTTAGGAAGTTCATTTCCTCAAACTCTACTACCTTCAAGTTTGAAATTCCTTGAACAGAAAAGCAACTTTGACAATCTTACTGGTAGTTTTCGCTTGTTTACCTTCATGGTGTTTCGTGGTCAACACAATGTACTTTGCCCCCGATGCAGCAAAGATGTCCGTCCACTCTTTGGCATCGAAGAACTCAGCTGTAAACTGTGGTGCAAAGTCTTGGTACTTGAAGTCCGGAGGATAGTTTTTCTTCATGAAATTAACATACTCCGGGTGTTTTTGCTGCCAGTAATACCTGGAAAACAAACACAGGTGATTGTTATATTTTGTCCGTTGTTCACATTTGATCTTATTGCTTTCTAACTCATCCGACTGAAAACAGTTGATCTGTCCTGCTTCAGTGACATACGGGAAAAAATGTAATATGATCACTCGTATTCAAAAAGCAACAGACGTGTTTGAATTAGGACCACACTTTAAAGTGGCCTAGTTCTCGCATGAAATAAAATATACATAGATAGATATAATTTTTCAGCTACAGGACAAGTCTTGGTCAGAAATGTTGGATTTGGAATCATGTTATCTGGAGATAGTTTAAGCAAATTACCTTCATATTGAAACCAAAGAAATTGCTAAGAATAACAAGATGATGCATGTAGCTTACAAAAGAAAAAAGAAAAATGTTTGCTGAATATTTCACGTCGCTAAATTTACATTGAAACCTCAGAAAAACTGTGACCAAAAGAAAAAAACTAAATTAAAAGCTGCCAAAAGTTGCATATCGTCATGAAATGTTCACAAAGGTGATATATTTTCTACCTTTAGTAAAATGTTTTCAAAGACTTGGAACTATCCTCTTTGTTCCATAACAATATTTCTCAGTGCACAATGTCATATTTTGACATTTGGCTTGATCTGTTTCAAACAAAACCTCATATTTAAATCTTGAAATTGCAAAAGAAACTAAAAATTTTGGATGGAACCTGGATCTTTCTGGGTCTTAGATATGTGCTTACATATCAAAGCTCCTGGTTAAAATTAACTTATGGACTAACGGTTTAGCAACAAGGCCCTGCTCACTTTAAGAAGAAGAAAATTTCTGGGTGTGCTTCTCTATGTTCGCCTTAGAAATTGCTGAAACTGCAAATCACATTATTAAATATACTTTACAAGTATTATAATAAATTTCCAAGGTGAAAGGAGCAGCTGGTATGGCAATTACAAATAAGGCGTCAAGTAAAGACATTTTTCCTGCCTTGCTTTGATGTATATTTAGACAATTAAAGTACTCTCGAAGACTAAAACCATTTTCACCAATTTCTAATTTCAGGCGTTATCTCCAATGAGCCAGTGCACCAAACCTGAGGGTCTCCTTTACCCATTCAGGGTTGCCGGACACACTCACGGGTGTGTCCAGCAGCCCATCACTAGTTGCTGGATCCAACTCGTGATGGGTCCGGCAACCCCGATGTGTCAGCGCATGCGTTAAGCTCAGATACAGGAATTGTTTTGAAATGACACTGGCACCAAACTGTGTTTATAAGGAAGTGAATCTGTCAACAGGATGCATTTGCCAAAAGGATCCTTGATCTTTTTACAGTACAGCGTCGATATGAAGCAGCTTCAAGACAAGCGAAAGGTTTCGTAGTTTGGGATCATTTTGATCTTACATCAGAAAGTGGATACACTTAGGATAAACACAGGTATACAGCCATTCTTCAAATTACTCAGTTGCTTTTTTTATAAATTATTTCATATAAATGTATTGTTTACTTAATTTTTCTTTCTACAGCAGGAGAAGTTGTTTCAAAAAAGCGCAACAGACTAAATTTCAAAATGTAGGAAAAACTTATTGTTTTAAATGAAAATGTGTGAAGAAGAAAAAAAGCCCAGTCCACAAACATCTTCATTCAAAACACATTCACTTAAAATTTCACTTTATGGTACATGTACACATTATTTATTGACGGCATCGAAGAATATCAAATATATTTTGAATTTAACTGAAGATATGACATAATACAATATATACTACACAATAAAATACAATGACTTAGATCTATTAGGTCATGACATAAGTCTGTCAACCATGTCGCCTGTAGGGATTTTTAATGTCCAGCAGGTGTCAGTATTGAGTAACAGTATCAATACAGTTGTGTAGGGATCAAAACGCTTCGTAACGCCTCATTTACCCTTCACTACTAAGTGACTCTCTGTAAAGTCAAAATTGTGCTTGAACAAGAAGAACTCACCAGAACCACTCGCTGCCGAAGCTCGGCACAGAAAACACCCCCCAGTGTACGAAGATGCCGAACTTCGCCTGGTCGAACCACTCTGGCAGCGGTCTGGAGTCAATGGACTCCCAGGTCGGCTCGTATTTGGCTCTGGTGAAGTCAATCATGAGGGTCCAAACCAGGAGGCACACCACTGCTAAAGCACCCATTTTAAAGCGACGTCTGGCAAAATGATCCGGTCGGGCAGGTTGGACGGCAATATAAAGCAGGAAAACCACGGGAACTATCACATGACGCTCTAAATATTGAACTAAGGTAGAAATTAAAACACTTCTTCCTTAAACTACTGGGATGCGTTTGATTTTAAAAAAGGAACTTGCCGCTGCGATGCCACTAACCAGCACGAGAGAACACCGCCCTCCCGGGATAGGCGGGATTGAATTTTGAGCGGTCAAGGTTGCACGCATGCGCAGACTGCATTTCAGTCAGGAAGTAGGTAATGTTTTGGTTTTGAGAGCTACACAGACAAAAAAAAAAAAATCCCACATGCATGGCTTCATTGACTGCCACTGTCATATCTCTGCTGGGGATTTTGACAAGGTATGAGTCAAATTAAATTCTTGGTTTTTAACCCTTTGAAACAATTAATGAAGTTTTAACTTGTTTTCTTCTCGACAGGACGTGGAAGAGGTGATTGAGAATTCAAAGAAGGTGAAATGCTTTAAACTTTAGCCACGTTTTCTCATGCGACAAATAAAAATGAGCGTTTCAAAGAGGATTTTATGTGATAAATAAAGTCAAAATATTTCTTTAAATGTACAGTATGTGTCTATTTGTGCATATATAGAGCAGCAACCAGGGTAGAGGGGACTAACATATAAACACTCCAATAGATTGTTAGTTGCAGAAATGGTTGAGAACAATGTACTCTTTTTATTTTACTTCAAAACTTCGTGTCGGACTATTACATAAAATCTATATAAATATTGTGGTTGTATTCGTGTCTGTCACGATAAGAGATTTTGGCTGGACGATAAATTGTCCTACGAGGTATTGCGATAAACGATAATATTGTTTAGATACCATTTTCAAGTAATATAATGGTAAAGGCATAATAATGCAAGAACACATTCTCAAAGGGATAAAGAACATTTAACACTGGCACTTTAAGACATTTTAAAAATACATAACAAATAAACAACAAAGAAAATGAACTAGGAAGTCTCTGATGGGTTGCTTATTATGACAGGCCGAGTTGTATTGTGACAAAATATGAAAAGAAAGAAAAGGGCTATGAAAAGCAAACTACTGTGAATTAATGTAGTTTTATTACGCAGGCTGGCTTGCTGGCACTTTTGGCTGTGGCTGAGCATGCTGGGGAATTTACCAAAATCATTGAGCTGTCTCAGAGGTAAAAAATAAAAATAATCTGAATGCAGTGAAAACATTTTTAAAAAATGTTTACTATGTTGCTAGTTGTAGTTTTATTTGTTATTTGTTGTTTTTTTTCTTAGATTTTCAGGTTTTATTTTCCCCTGTTTGGGAGTCCATCCTGTTCAGGAAGTTTCCCCAGAGCAACAGAGGAGCGCTTCTCTGCAGGTTACAAAGCAACGTGTCAACATCTGAATTTAAATACGCTGTAGTAGCTCTGCTGTTGCATTAAAGAGCGTTTGGATTACAGGACCTTGATGCAGCTCTGCCCGTCATAGAGAAATACAGAGACCGGCTTGTCGCAGTTGGCGAGGTAAAGATTCACATGAGTATTCAGTCACTGTTGTGTTCGGAGGCCTGAAGTCGGTTCCAGTTGTTAGACAGACAAAAATGTCTCTTTGGGTTGTAAAGGTCGCAAATCCCTGGATTAAACCTAACAGACAAAAGCGTCTCCAGATCGTTCACAGACATTGCAAATAGCTAAGCTCTCTGATGCCATGCAAACTGGATTTTCCATTACTTGTTTCTTCGTAGGTTGGCTTGGATTTTACTCCCAGGTTCGTCAGCGGCGAGTCTGATAAGGAGAGTCAAAAGCTGGTTCTCATACGTCAAGCGCAGCTTGCCAAGGAGCTGGACCTCCCTCTGTGAGTTTTCCCCATGTGGACGTCTCCACATGCGTTTGCGTTATAAGATTGTCCTTCATATATAAAATCAGATTAAAGAAATAAAAAAAATTTGGCAAATTCTGCAGAAATTTCACTTAAGGCATTTTTTATACAATATTAGAAGTACATCGAAAGATGCCAATAAACAAATAATTGAATTCTTCTTTTTTTGAAATAAGAAAATAAACATTTTTATTGGAAAAAAAATACAATAACATGATTTATTTAGTATCTAAAAATGACTTCTAACGTCAATATGCACCATAGTTAACGATTAGTCAATTACTAAATTAGTTGACGATTATTTCAATAACTGATTCATCGCGATCAATTATTTCAGCCCTAATTTTAATAAAGGATTATTTTTTTGTTTTTTTTTTCTGTTTTTTAGAAATGTTCATTCAAGGTCTGCAGGACGACCCACCATCCACCTCCTGAAGGAGCAAGGTGAGCAGATAACTCTGGAGGGTGTGTTTGTGTGGAAGAGATATTTACGGGTTTGAGGAGGCAGCTGCAGTTCCTGTTACTTTGCCACTAGGTGTCGAAAAAGCCCTTCTTCACGCTTTTGATGGGAAGCCTTCTGTTGCAATGGAGGGAGTGAAGGCTGGATATTTCTTCTCCATCCCCCCATCCATAATACGGAGCGAGCAGGTTACAGATGATGAGCTCATATTTTACACGGCCTTTAACAGAAATAATGTTTACACTGGAATGTTTGCTGCATTTCTCGCCAAGAAGCAGAAACTGGTGAAGCAGCTTCCTCTGGAGAACATCTGTTTGGAAACCGATTCGCCTGCTCTCGGCCCAGAGAAGCAGGTAAAGGGCAGGAACTGACCCACACGCCTCTGCGATACAGTCAACTCTAAATCCTCAATGTTTTTTTTTTTCCATAAAGCTGTTGCTTAGCTTAGCATAATGTGTGTTTATAATGCTTCGCGTTAACAGGTAAGAAATGAGCCCCGAAACATCTGCGTCTCTGCCGAGTACATCAGTAAGGTCAAAGGCGTGTCGCTGGAGACAGTGATGGAGGTGACGACCCAGAATGCCCTGCGGCTCTTCTCCAAGCTCAAGTCTGCCATCCGACCCTGACGGTCACGTCAGCAATCCAGAATATTTTCTCATAAGATAATTTCTTGTCAGAATGTGTATATCACCACGTGATTAAAAGCTTTTAAAATTATGATTGTTGAGGGATTTTATTTTTCGTACTTTGTAAGAAAGACAATCTACTGAATTGCCTTACTAATTTAAATATTAAAATTTTCTGTTAATAGTTCGTTTTTCTCGCAAATTTCTTGCAGCGATGGAGTGACATTTTATTTACAGAGCCGGTGGGGATACTTCCAAAGGATTCTGTATTTTATAGCCCATATTAATGCTACGCAATTTATTTTTATTTGTTTCTTTTTGTGTAGTTGACCAATCGTCAACAATTTTAAAACAATGACGGCCAGATTTAGGCATTAGCTTTACACCTTCTGTTTGTTTTTGGGGTTTTTCTGATGGCCATGTTGAGTTTTAGAAATAACAAATCTTCTCAGAAATTCCTATTTTATGTGAACACACCCCTAAAACACATTGAAGTTGATCTCTGTGTCACTAGCGGACACAGGCTGTCTCTATTTCCCCAGATTGTCTAGGAACTTAGTGTTCCCAATCCATGACTGCTTTGCCTTCCTGGTGATATAACTGACAGGACAAAGTCTAATTTCCTTCTACCAACTCTTTATAATGGGAAAGACAAGAAAACGACACTCAAGTGAGTCAAACGTTTAATGGTTTTCATGAGTGTAAAAACAGCTACAACAAAAAAAAAAACTTCACCAGTTTCAACCTTTTGAGCTACAGCTGGGCTTTGAAACCACTGACACTGACAAACTGGGCAAGAGGGTTTTTAAAAACAGGCAACAAGTTTCTATTACACAGTGTCACTCCTTTTAAACTGTTTTTCATTGTTTTACACTTGTGTATATGTGTTAATTAGTTTTATTTTGTGAAATAAAACCTGGGCAGAAGTCTGCTGTGTATTGCAGACTTCTGCCCAGGTCCCTCTTGAAACTGAGTTCTAGATCTCAACAAGATTTACCTGGTAAGAAAATAAAAAAAATTGTTAATTGTTGTTTTTTTTTAAATTTCTGTGATTGGAGTGAAGAAGTCGGTTGAGTTTTGAAAATAAAACATTTTCCTTTACTTGCTTGGTGTAGGATTTCACTTGCGCAACACTTTTCGGGCCTCCTTTGTGAATTTTGCTTAAAAAGAAATCTGCAGGTGGACAGGTTTAACCTGTTAGTGGTATTAACCTGTCCACCTCAGCTTAGTACCTCTAAACCACGGTGCTAAAACTCAACCTGAATCTGGTTTGGCGAGGTGCAGCTGGAATAGGAAGGATCACCTCTGAACAAACGAGGTCGCTGACTGGAACATACAGTTCCAGTCAGCATACATTATGGGAGACTTGACCTGAAGGTCTTACATGCCATGTGTGATAAATCTCTAATAAACTATCATAACCTAAGGATGGAAGGCCAATCAGTCAACCGAAGTGTGAGGGGTAAAAATATTCAGGAATTGACTATTTTAAGCCACGATCTTTCGGGGAAACTGGGTTGAACACATATGAAATCAGCATATTGATCTGCTGACAATCCCAGTAAGTGCTGCTGCGTTTGTGTTTACGTTCAAGGCGCCTGTTGAGATTAAGTCGATGCTGACGTGCAATTTGACGAGGCAACTTCTTGACCCTATCTGTAGTAGATTGGCCCACTGCAATGGACTGATCCAGAAATGTGTTGAACTGACTAGAAATCTGGGTATATAAGTAACTCAAAAATTAGTTAGGCATGACATGTTAAAAAATTGTACCTGGTTCATAATGCTGATTTTCATATAAGCCACCCAGACCCTTGACTTTGATTAGCGGGCCGCTGATCTGTTTGGGTCAAACAACCGACTCACTTTGAATTTCCTGTTGTCTCAAAAGTGCTGAGCAAGCAGCGCGTCATTGTGTAAACCTGAAAACCTTAACTAATTGAAACAGGCTGTGAACAGGACAGCTAGTGATCGAATCAATTGAATTCTGATAAACAACTGATATCCACTTGATGTTTGATGTCCTGTTCCTGTGAAAAGCTTTATTTGTTCTCTGTTCCAGCAAGACAACATCCTGTTGGAACAAAAGAGTGGTTTTCCACTTTTATCTCATTTATTTACTAAACCGTTATCTAATCAGGATTGAGATTAAGGTTCTTGGTTGAGATAGAGTGGATAAAGCATTCTTCTGGGATTTCTTTACCAAGACTCCAACACCAACCCTACTCAAGAGTTGTGCACTATGTTTAGGAATCTGGCAAACCAATCAGTTTTAATAAACTCCAAAATTTCAGACCTACAAACAGAATTAGTCCAAAAGCTTGCTGACAGCTAGAAAAAATGTCAAAGTACAACTTGCTAGCACATATTCTCCAAAGACGGTGTGGACCAAGAAATAATCTCCTAAACTGAAGAACACAAACTAGTTTACTTTTAAGATTAATTCATTTTACACACAGTTTACTCCTTTTAGGCATCTGATCAGTATCTGATCATCCAGCTGCTGAATTTTATTTACTTGTTTAGATGAGAACATTGCACGGATTTCAGCCAATTTTGTTAACAGTAAAGACACATGAAAGTGATTTTTGAAAAAGAACCAGGAATGAACATATTTTTATAAACAACAACAAAAATAAATTATTTCTGGTGACTTACACACATTTCTGGTGTGTATGAGGTATATTTTCAGTAATATTTCTAGCAGAACTGATGCCTCACCAACCACAAGCCTAATATTTTGCTTAAAATATGTTATGAACTAAACTACAGTAAACAACAAAACTACTATCGTAATAACATACCAACGATAGACATATACACACATTTTTTGGCAGTAAAAAAAAAACAAGAAAAAAAACTGTTAGTCTATCATGTTTATGCGTACCTCTTGTGACGTCACTGGACAAATTATGAGGAAAAAAACTGAAGTATTTTTGCTTTCTTCAGCTCTAACTTGAAAGCTATACATTTGGTGTTTTTATTGTTTTATGTTAGCCATTTAATCACGTGATACTTAAAAACAAAACAAACAAAACAGGAATGGGCGGGCGAGCTCGTGGGCGTCTCGCGCGTGCAGCAGCTCGCGACCCGCCCTGAGCGGACACGTCAGCGGACACACGAGCGGCGGAGGAGACTGACAGCGCGTGCGACCAGGTCCGCGGTTTGTTGACAGTCCAGGTCGCCGAACTTGGCCTCGCTGCACGGTGTGTGCTGTGCTGAAGCTCCTCTGGGGAACCCGTCTGCGTGGCGCCTCGTCTCGCAGGAGTTTTTTCTTTCTTTTGTTTCTTCCCTGTCGAGTCAAACCCAGGTGAGAGAGGGGCTCGCGCTGCGCCTCCGCGGCTGCGCAATGCTCGCTGCTCTGCATGCGCTCTGAGCCCAGGCGGAAAGCTTCTGGTGGTGAGTGGAAGTTGTGGCTCTTTTGTTTGTCCACTCGGCTCTGAAGCCCATACCCTCCATCTCTATCGTCTCTGAGCTCACACTGACGCATGTTTTATCTTATTCCCCTGTTTTTAAGCCGTCTTCTCTTATTCCTGTCTGTGTTTACATTGTGCAGCTACAGCGTGGTGTTGGTGGTTGTGCTGTATTCACAGGATGGCTGCTTAAAAACACAGCTGGGTTTGCCCACCAAGCCTTCTCTTTAGGTTGTTGTTTTTCTTTCTGTGCAGGTCACTGCAGGGTAACATCATGACAGGGGACGCAGTGGTTTTGAGGGGCCTGAGCTGGATAAAGCAGGCAGCTAGCAGAGGCAGCCTGAGCAGCCCCAACAACCACAGGCTGGTAAGCATCCACCAGATCCACCCTCAGATCACCACGGGTGGGCAGTGAGCTGCACTTTGGCCCAGGATGCAGCTGCAGAGCGGGGTCATGTTTCCTTCATGAATGCATTTCTCCACGGGATGCACTTTGGTGCACATTCTCTGAATAAAACAATATATTTTTATATATTCGATAATAATATCTGTATCGGTTTTGATGTTGGAAAAAATCCATTCGGTTAATTCTGTTTTCTGAGTCTTTTGTTTATTTTGCATTATGTTTAATGGACTTTCTGAACAATTTGAAATAATTTGCAGCTTATGTTTTAACGTTTTTGGCAAAACAACCTCTTTCTGTGAATTTCTTTAGTATTTATTTTAAACCGACTGAACAGATTAAAGTTGTGCTGTTTCAACGCGTTTTACGTTTTTGGTGTCTCACAGTGCAGAGTTAGCAGATAAATTTGTGTTTGAAAAAAAAAGAAAGTGATTAAGTCGATTTTGTTAAGCCGTTTTATGGGTCGATACCGGATCTCAGATATCGGTATCGGAAGTGAAAACAGTGGATCGGTGTGTCCCTACCCCTAAAACTACTCCCTCTACTCCCCCTTCAGCTCGGGTTTCCTCCTTCTGCGTGTCGGAGTCTGACCTTGATGATAACAGGAACTGGCTGGGAGAAACCTGATTCGTGCGTCTCGCATCGTAACGTTAAAAAACTGTTATGGATTTTCTTCCAGCGCATTTCATGTTTATATTTCACATGCAAGAAAACCCACACATTCACAACAGTTGAGATCTGAACCCAACAGCACTAACCGCTGGTCTGCAGTGAACTTTTTTTTTCTTTTTTTTTTTTTTAAACGTCTCTTCTAAGAAGCCTTTGTTACAGACATTTTGTATCCTGTTTTGTTTCCATTCTTCAGTCTTCATGTCCATCTCGGGTTTGGCCAGAATAGCTTCATGTGGCAGGCGCTGCGGTGGGCGGTACGTGCCGAAACAAACACTTCAGTTTCGTTTCGGTTGCTACGAGACACTTATGCTTCGATGACCTTGAGTAAAAATATCACAGTTTCTGACACTTGTAGCTAAAAAAAAAAAAAGAAAAGCAGAAGACGGCCCAATTGTTTTTATGTCGAACAAAAAACCAACAGCAATTCCTACTGCTGGAATAACATAACATATTCAGTATTAAAGTTATCTATCTATGCCATAGGTTTTCAATCAGGTCAACGATGATTGATGATTGACATAAAAACCATTTATAGTCTGGAAGAAAGAAAGTGGGGGGGGAAGGATCAAAATTGGACCTATATATATATATATAAAAAATAAAATTTAAACCCTGTCATCCAACCCTAGTGTGACCACCAGTGTTTTTCACGACAGAAAAAATGTACGAAACAGCTACGTTTGTCTTTATAGTTGCTTCGTTTCAGCAAGCTGGCCAGCAGTGCGCATCAGCATTGAGGGAGGGAAATCGTCAGCAAATGGTAGCTAGCTCAACATCTACTTTATTTATTTTGCTAAACAAGTCCTTAAAGAACCGCCAGACCACAACCTCACTTTTCTTTCTCGTTAATTGTCTAATTTCCTGAGTGAACAGCGTTCCTGAGTGGAGTCATGTGCCGCAGCTTCCTCCCTCCTGTTTTTATTGCACAGACATTCAACAAGCAGATGGACTGCGGCGTCCTCAGAGCCTCGCCGGCTCACTTCCTCAGATACTCCAGCGTGGGGTCGTACCTCGGCTCCCGCCTGGCCGGAGGGGTGAGCAGCGCTCACGGGGCGTGCGGCGGGAGACCCGGTGCTGGACACGCGAGGTACCGCAGGAGCTGGTCGGGTCAGCTGTACTCTGGACACACGCGGCTCCTTAACCAGGACAACTCCACAGTGGGGCGGCTGACGGCGGAGGACATCGAAAAAGCAAGAAGCGCCAAGAAAACTGAAGCAAAGGAGTATAAACAAGCGGTACTGTGTCTTTAAGAGGCAATAAATAATGCCGGCTCATGGATACAAGAAGTAAAAAAAGTTCTTTTGTTGTTAAAGTTTTGTCCTCTTTTTGTTTAGCTGAGTGAAAATGCTCGGGAAAGGAAAGTGCCGGTCACACGGATAGGAAGGCTGGTCAATTTTGGAAGTAAGTGTTTTTAGGTTGTTTTTTTATGTGGCTGATTTCCAACATTTTTGTTTTTAAACTCTTTTTTTTTTTTATGTACGGGGTAGAGACGATGTCACACAGTGACCATAAGACAGAGTTTATATGGGTAAAAAATAATCAAAATAAGTGGATTTGACTTTTTAGCATCTAATGTCTGTAATTAAAAATAAAAAAAGAAGTTAGTGCACCTAGCTCTACTGACTGTGAACAGTGGGTATTTCCTAGAAAATGATATTTACCTTAATCACATTTCCAGAAATGCTGCCAAATCCAAAATGTTCCATTCGAAACATAAACTAAACAAAACCAGTGGAAAGAAAAACTGAGCAACTTTGCAGTACTCCACTCGGCCTTCCTGCTATCTACTGTGATTGTCTGGATTATTTTTGAAAATTTGACTATCCAAGACCCACCAAACTGAAGTGGCAAAACTTGACCAACAAGACGACCAACATCCTTCAAATCCTAATCCTCAAATTTAGGTCTGAAAAAGACCAGGTCTTCTTTCTAATAGAAGATCCCCCAAAATAAGTTTTATAAATCTTTTAAATTGGTTGCTTCTTCCATCAAAAATTGCTTTCATCTTTTAAGTTTAGTTTTTTTTTTTATCTTAACTTTCATTTGTTTTGCCTAATGTAGTTTTGGGTTAGAAACCTGGGCGATGAAAGCCCCAGAAGAGCAAACGTTCTGGTGGGAACCAATTCACTGCCGGACCCTGAACCTTGTTATCGTTTATGCTGGGAAATTAAATGAAAACACTCTCATTACCTACCATCTCGTTTATCGTAAAAAAACCCAAAAACATATAAATCATGCTTAACAAGGTTAAGCTTGAAAACAGGAGCTTTGATTAATATTTCCACGGGTAGCGGATGTGTAAACATTGACGGGAGATGAAAAAGAAAAGCCACTTTAAGTTGGTAAAGTAGCTTTTAACCAGCTTATTTAAAAAGTTAACTCACTGTAGCTTAAATTTGGAAGTTTTATGGCTGTTTCAAATGATGACATCAAGTAAATGACGGGAACGCTAGTATGTGGGGGAAAACGAACATGATTTCTCTCTCCTTTTGTGCTTTTTTTTTTTTACATTTGCTTTTCCCAAACAAGTTGGGTGACTCAGAATTTAAAAAAATAAAATACTGCAATAATTCTTAGCAACTCTCACATTTCATTAGGTAACGTAATCATTTCTGGGGAGAAAAAAAAATTTAGCAAGTAAATTGTGCAATCTTTCTCTACAGCTGCAAAGGCTCATGGGAGAATAACAAGTTGGTTTGCAGGAGATCACCAAGAGTAAATGTGTTATGAAAGTTCAAACCTCAGGAAGCCAGAGTGTTTTAGTTTTGTTTCAGTGAAGTGTGAACAGAACAAAGTTTCATCATAGATTTAATTCAGAGAGGGTGAACTTGTCTTAGTCAGCAGATTTTTCTTTTTTTTTGTTTTTGCTGACTCGTTCCCCCACAGGAATGTTAAGTCCAGGCTTCCGGCAGCTGAGGGGAAAGCTTCCGGCACGTGCCGACAATCTGGCTAGTTTAAAAACTTTTCTCTGGGCCTCAGTTTCACCTCCCAGGTTTAAGAAAACCCGTTATGGCCTCCGTCATCAAAATCCGACTCGCTCCAGTGGGACTTCCAGGCTGCTGATTTCGACCTTTGTTCTCGGCGAGCATCGTCTCTTTTTCATCCTGGTGGTTTCTCTCTGCAGGCCTGGCGGTCGGACTTGGCATCGGAGCCATCGCGGACATGGCTAAGAAGAGTCTGAAGCTTAAACAACCAGGTAATAGAAAGTGAAGGATGTTGAGTTTGTCGGCCTGGTGGATCTGCTGCCGATCTGAGTTCAGTTTGAGTCGACTTATCAGTGAGCAGCACCAGGCTAGATAAGCACTCAGACGAGCTCTGGGTTGACAATTACGTCTATCGTTGGTTTGTGTCAACGATAGACAGGCTGGGAAGTCCTGCTCCTGGATTTCCTGTTGTTTTGCTAAAAATCTTAAATGTAAATTAGCTAAAACTGATAATAAACAGTGTCTTTGTGTGTGTAAGCTTCTGTTTTCGATTGTTAATCAGAGTCTGGCACTTGACCTCTTCTTTACTGAGGGTCAATGAGCCACACGACAAAACCCGACAACAGGATGTTCTTTGAAGCAGCATGCAGAGATAATCAGACAGCGAATGTGTTCTAAAATGTGCTCATTTATGTATTTTTCTTTACGTTTCTTCAAAGGGAATAAAAAGGCCGTCCTGGACTCGAATCCCTTCCTCTCTGAGGCGAACGCTGAAAGAATCGTTCGGACACTTTGCAAAGTTCGAGGAGCGGCTTTAAAAATGGGCCAAATGCTCAGCATTCAAGGTGAGGCGAAACAGTTTCCTTCCTGTGAACTCTCAAAACGATTGTTTTATTGATGCTCCTTGAGCCGTTGGGCTAGTCAGGCTGCTGCACAATATGAATCCATATGAGGACGTGTGTAAAAGAAGCTTCGGTTAACGTCTGTCGGGGCGTCAGTTTCTCTAACCAACAAGCTGGGTTCCTTCATCAACCCACAGCCCAGCTGAGCGCAGGGTGCCATTCCAGCTGAGATGTTAGCTGCTGTAGGCAGCGGCTTAATCCGACTCCGAGGTCGGTTGTGTTCACACCGCGTGCTTACATTATGCTGCTGTTTTAGCTCCCGTGCCGCTGTCAAGTGTTTGTCATGTGAGCTCAATGACTGAAGCGTTTGTTGTCTGTAACATAAACCTCCTGTTTTCCCTCCTGCAGCCGTTTGAAATCCCGCATGGACGGTCGCCTGCGTCTGTTTTGAAGGCAATTTCTGAAATGGCTATTTTCTCGCTGTCAGCTTTCAACCTGTTCCCTTTGTTGTAGTTGGGAAACAACCATTTAAGCAAGAAAGATTTGGGGTGTTGTGGTGGTGCAGGGGTTCAGCACAACCCACACATGGAGGGCTTAGTCCTCGACGCGGCTGTCGCAGGTTCGATTCCCTGCCTGGCGACCCTTGCCACATGTCTTCCCCTTTTCTCATTCCTGTCAATTAACTATCAAATGAAGGCCACTAGAACCAATACAACCTTTTAAAAAAAGAATGATTTAAAGGGGAAAAATCATGTGTTTTTATTATATTTCTACTTATGCATCTTCTATTTATGTTTTTAATTGCGAATGTACATTTTGGTCAACTCGCGTTTAATTTTTCAGGAGACTCTTGACTTGTTCTACGGATTTTAAAACATACTGTCATGAGACCTTTGAACTGCTGAGGCTGTGGACATACTGATTGTTCTGTTTGCAATGGATCAGCCTTACTCTTAGGGTTTTGTAGACTTCTGGCCAAATGTTCTAAATAAAAATGGTGATTGATAACGCATCAAGTATTGAATACAAGTTGTTAGCTAATCAACATAGAACACACGTTCTTCTTCCTGACAGTGAGACGTGTCTGACGGTTGCTGCTTTTTACAGTCACTATAAAAGAAAAAACTTCTCTTATAAGCAAAGAAAGAGTGAGATATTCTTTTGTCCAGCTGATCACCACTCAAAACATCTTAGAGTTCATATAGAAGCTACAGTTAGCTTAAGCATTTATCTAAAAAAAGCTAATAGCTGTTTCTTTTAGCTTGAGGTGAGTCTTTTCTCAGAATTCTCAATTAATGTGAAAATACATTTCTGAGTTCATAGAGCGGTAATGTATATGTAAATATTTATTAAATATAGAAAAAGCTACATTTATCTTTAGCTGTTAGGTAAATGAAGCTACAAATCTAGCTAGAAGCAGGTAGAGGTTTTAGTTCGCTTTGCCTAATGTAGCTTTTTTTTCCTAGTAGACAATTAAAAGTTGTGTGTAACTTTGGGTTATATCTTTTGTGCTATAAAGATAACAGTGTTAGTCTGTTGCCTAAAACTTTCACTGCATCGGGCAGCAAATGAACTTACACAAGGACTGGGACTCAAGTTTATTCAACTCCAGTAGCTTGCTGAATGTCAAACTTACATTTGTTTTCTCATTTTCCTCCATCAGACGACGCCTTTATCAACCCTCAGCTGGCTAAGATCTTCGAGCGGGTCCGGCAGAGCGCGGACTTCATGCCCACTAAACAGATGATGGTACAATTATTTCAGTTAGCAGCACAGAAGAAATGATTTGGCTCCCAGTCTCTTCACTAGAGCGTTTTTTTCCCCCCTCATCTCCCTCCAGAAAATCATCACCAGCGATCTGGGCCCGAACTGGAGGGACAGCCTGGAGTACTTCGAAGAGAAGCCGTTTGCGGCCGCCTCCATCGGCCAGGTTCACCTCGGGAGGCTGCAGGACGGCAGAGAGGTGGCCATGAAGATCCAGGTGAGTGCGGCGTTTACGCGGGAGCGGATTATGCGAGTGCACCGTGTTCGCCTTCTGCAAACTGAAGCTCAAATGTTCCACCAGTACCCGGGAATCGCCAAGAGCATAAAGAGCGACGTGAATAACATCATGACTGCGCTGAGTTTAAGCAACGCTCTGCCTGAAGGTAACATTGTTGGAGGGGTTTTTTTATCGCCTGTAAGATAACAGCTGCTATTGAGTGCAGGCGGTCACGCCTGATAATACCTGTGTGCCAACCAAGAACACCTCGTCATGTACAACAGCCTCCACTCTCTATTTTTCTCCTTGATTTCACAGGTTTGTTCCCAGAACATCTTATTGAGGTCATGAGTCGTGAGCTGGCCTGGGAGTGTGATTACATAAGGGAGGCAAACTGTGCCAGAAAGTTTCAGTAAGTCCTTCACTGTTTTTTTTTTCATGGCAGATATTATAATATGTTTATGTCAATCTTTTAGAAGTTAATCAAATGACAATTGAAACATTTCTGACTCGGCTTCTCATATTACATTTTGTGTTTTAGATTTGCTTGCATTGTGATAACTGGGAGATATTTCTTGCCTGTTGTGCAGAAAAGAGCAAATCATGATTTATAATTTTCTTAAATTACAACAACAACAAAAAAACTTGAGGTAGTAAAACTGATAATGAGTTAAAGCAGGGGGATCCAAAGTGTGGCCAAAGGGCTAAAGGGCCACACTTTGGATTTTAGAGATAACTTTTTCAAAAAGAAAAAAAATATGAAGTCTAAAAAAATAGATTCCCATTTATTAGCAATGTTTTTTTTTATTCATTTTAATTTTGGAGTAAGCTGTAAGCTCTGGGCTCGACCACAAACAGCTCCTCGATTAAAATCCTTCACAGTCGAGAGCATTCGTCGAAATCGGCCCGATCTTTGTGTCGTTTCATATTTGACCTTGTGCGCCTCCCTCTGCGTGGCAGGGAGCTGCTGAAGGATCACCCGTTCTTCTACGTGCCCGATGTGATTGACGAGCTCAGCAGGGAGCGGGTCCTCACCACAACGCTGGTGTCCGGTTTCCCCCTGGACAAGGCCACGGACCTTCCTCAGGAGCTCAGGAATGAGGTACGCCTGCGTCGACGCATCAGCCCTTGTTGAAGTGTGAAAGATGACCGGCTTTGATCCGCAAAGGTTTTCACAGCCTTGGACTTTTATTTCCACAGCATAACCAAAAACTTTTGTTTTATTCTTACCTTCACATAAAAACAGCACAAAATATTTTCATAAATGATCAGTAAAAGCAAAATAACACCTGGATTTTAGAATAGAGGTGGCGCCTGTGGAAAACCCTGGCTGCAACCAATGATTAGTTTAGTAATCCAATATTCTGATGATTAATCATTCAAAAATAATTGACACTTTCTGCTCATTTTTCATTTTACCAAGTAAGCTTATTTTGTACAATATTAAAAATATATTGAAATACAAATCAACAAATAATTTCTTTTTTAAATAAGAAAACAAATATTTTAGGCAATAAAATGTTTGTTTTCTTATTTTAAAAAGCTTCATTATTTGCAGCAAAGGATGCATCTGCAGATAAAAGAAATATTTCTAACACCAACATGTGAAAAACTGCTATTTGTGCTTGACTTAACATCAACGCAGTGTATTGCTGATCTGGTGATTATTTTTTGGATTAATCAATTAATAACTGAATAGAAAAATGTGCTTAATATGAGATTTATTTTTATTTATTTGTTTTTCATAGAATTTGAACCAGGAGAAGCTAAAACTATGCTGCTTTAAGATTTTTGTGTCAAACATATTCACAAAGACGCTATTTTTTTAATCTTTAATACAAAATCTATGTATTTTTTTGTAACGTTTTTGGCTTAATTACTGATATTTGTCTTTATGCTCCAGTTAACGATTAATCAATTACTAAATTAGTTGACGATTATTTCATAATCGATCCATTATGATTCATCACGATAATCCGATTAATTGTGGAACCTTTTATGTGGAAAGTCCCAATCTGGTTGATGTCGTTCGTATGAGCAGCAGATGTGATTATATAATGTGTAGCATTAGTTTTAATATATATCCTGATAGCTGCTTGTTTCCACTCCCCAGATCTGTGAGCAGATCCTGATTTTATGCCTCAGGGAGCTGTTTGAATTCAGATTCATGCAGACCGATCCAAACTGGTCCAACTTCTTCTACGACCCACAGAGCCATAAGGTGGGTCAACCCGAGTGTCGCTGGTGTAAGATGTCTTCCTGTCTCGGCGGTGAGTGACGGGTCGTCTCGTTTCCCTGTTTTCAGGTCGCGCTGTTGGACTTTGGAGCTACAAGGGGATTTGACAAGAAATTCACAGACAGCTACATCGAGGTAAGTAGTACGGGAATCAAACTTTTATTTTTCACTGCTGCTGTACAGTGGTCAAAAAAACAAACAAATCTGGTCTCTGCACTTCTTAATAATAAAAAAAAGATTTTTACAAAATAAAACCACATTTAGTTCCAGAGGCGTTTTTAAAATAACATGTTCAAAAATGGACAGTGTGAATTTGTAAAATCTGACAATATTTGGTTTTAGTAGTCCATGAACTGCCTGACAAATAATACATTATAAAAACTTCGCCATGTTTGTGGCTCAAGGTTCTTTCTTAGGCTCTTTTTCTTTGTCAAAAAAAAAAAATCAATATTTATGGATGTGGTGAGACAGATTCTCTTTATACAGGCATTCAGTTGGGAAAGCCTTGAGCGTTTAAACTTTCCTTTTGGCTTTATTTGTTGATCAGGACGGCGGCACATCCCTTTGTGTGGATGCGAATCCACTGGAATAAGAACAGCCATCGTTCTGTGGGAGGAGGGCGGTCCCATCTTTGTCTTAAAGGAGCACAAAGCTCAAGACACACAAAAACGAATCCTTTATTATTTACTCTGCTCAGTCAGAAACACATAATACAAACAGAATGCAGGCGAAGTTTCTGTTTTCTTATATAATGTTTAAAAAAAGTCACATCAGTTGCAAGTTGAAACAAATTCAGTCCAGTTTATTTATATGGAGGAAATAGGTTCAGAGTGTCGTAGAGGGCCAAAAGTGGCACAATAAGAGACAGGTTTTAAAAATAATAATGAAAAAGAAAATCTTCAATAAATGACATCTACAATGACCTTAAATTAATATGTAATTTCAATGTATTTGCTGTATTGGGAGCGACTCAGATGGTTTTTGTTCCCCTCGTCATGATGTTTGACTAAAACGGAAAATGTCCTTAAGAGGTTCAAAGAAGAGTCTTCTTTTTAACTGAACTTTCTGAATTGGATTATTTTTATTGTGCATTTTCCATACAGTTGTGTGTTTTTCCATGTGAGGTGGGTAATTGTTTTCACTGATCTGTGCAGCACTTTCAGCTTATAGTTCACCCAATTCATCCTGATACAGTTCAGTCACACCACAATGCAGTTCCAGAGTCGGGTGATAACAAATTCCCGTTTGTTCAAAGTTATGCCGTTAGAATCTTTATTTATTTTTAATTTCCATTCACCCAATCTGTACGTTTGGATCACTTTGTGCCTTCAGATCATTAAGGCAGCTGCGGATCAGAACCGAGCAGGCGTCCTGCTCCGATCCAGAGACATGAAGTTCCTCACAGGATATGAGACAAAGGTGAGAAACTCTTATTTAACTGCAAGAGGCTGTAATGAAGTTGCACATTTAGAGGACCTCCAGTTAGTTTAATAGTTGCCGGAGGTTGGAGGTCGGATAGAGGTCGGAGCCAGACACATCAAAAACAAACAAACAAAAAAGCTCACAGCACTATCTAAAAACTACTTTCCCCTACCCCAAAAAAGTACATTTTATCCCAATGTTTCTGTTCTTGTGGCTAGGGAAAACAATCTATAAATTGCTTGCTGGGCTTTTTTTTCTTTTACAACAAACAAACTATTTGTAAAACATATGTTCAGCATATGTTGTTCAAATAAGAATCCAAATAAAAGGTTTATTTGACTCATGAAAATGTATATATGTTTTATTTTGACCTTTGGAGCAGCAATAATTTTGAACACTTTTTTTTCTTTTTTCTTTTTTACTCCACCATATTGAACCTGAAAACGCGTCTCGCTCTGTATAAAATAACTCGGCTGCGCAAATCAATTTGTCGCCAGATTTTCCGATCGCGGCTCCTGCTGTTAAATCACCAGGTTTGTGCTCATTTTCCCGGCCAACGTCAAAACCGGTCAGATGATTCGTTGTAGTCATGTTTCTGGAAACTGGACCAGGGTGAGTCAGAACGTGTCTTCAGCAGAGTGAAGCAGTTCACCAGTCCATCAGTCGTGTGGAAACTGATTCTAAAAGACACAAACGCGACCAGCTGACGCCACGCAAACGGCTGTTAGACACCATTTCCTGTTTACTGAATATTCTCATTCCTTTTTGAGCCAGTTCTCCATTCTCCTTTTCTCTATCTTCTTCTGAGAATCTTCTTGGTTTCCTCGCCAGTCGTCTTTCAGTTCATGAGAGGCACAAGTCTGATTTTGGCCTGGGGGCCCCATCTGTTCCTCTGGTAGCGGGGGATTGTTTTACACCTCTCTGTACGCTCACGCCTCAGCTCAAAGACAGCAACCAATCAGAGGCCTCCCTGCTTCACACGTCTCTTTAACGTGTCGCCGACGTTGTTCCCTCCCGAGCATTAACTCGGCCTCCGCTCTTCCTCTCCCGCAGTCGATGGAGAACGCCCACGTGGACGCCGTGATGATCCTCGGCGAGGCCTTCAGCTCCCAGGAGCCGTTCGACTTCGGCGAGCAGAGCACCACGGAGCGCATCCACAGGCTCATCCCCGTGATGCTGCGGGAGCGCCTGACGCCGCCGCCGGAGGAGACCTACTCCCTCCACAGGAAGATGGGCGGCTCCTTCCTCATCTGCTCCAAGCTGAAAGCCAGAATCGCCTGCAAGAGCATGTTCCAGGAGGCGTACAGGAACTACTGGAAGGACGGACGCCCCGACTCTGAACAGTGAAGACTTGTGTTACGTCGACATTATCTTGAATGTTTTTGGGGGTTTTTTGTATCCTGTTGGAACAATTGACATGACTCCGGCTCCATGTTAATGTAGAGCAATCCTCCCCCAATTATTGTACTGTACTCAGAATCAGCGTTCCAAGTACAGTACTCCCACAATATTGACAGTATCTATCATGGAAAACACGCTGCAGCCAGAGAACTTTTGAGGAAAATAATAGATGATCATGGTCCAAGCAATCCCACCAGCCATCACCCAGAACATACAGAGGGTGGAATACAATTTATTACATTTCCAAAATCAAAACGGAGTCTGGAATATCGCAAGAAATGGATCATGGACTTCTTCAAATCAGACAAAATTGATGTCAATTAACTCGACTGTTTGTGCAAACGTTTGATACCGATTTTGTCTGTGTTCATGAAAGTGGGGGGGCTGGTTGACCTTTAACCTATCATTAATATCTTCAAAGCCAAAGCAGCACAAACGAAAATTTTTGCTGCTTAGAGCATTTTCTTGCCTGCCGTCTTCGCCTCGGTGTTGGTTTGTGAGGCAAAAATGAGGCATTGAGGTCCGTCAGTCAGTCTGCCTTAACAACAGTGTGGTTGTCGGAGGATTGCTCTACTTCCGCATGTGTGGGGGGAAGTTTCCTTTTTGTTCTTTTACAACCCAACCATTACATGGTGGGGGGGGAAACAACAGAACAAAATGTATCCCAATAGCAGCTATTGTTGTCTTAATCAAATGTTTGTTTTGACTATAACGCCATCTTTAATCTCCATAAGGATCGAATAGTTCGTACATGTCCTTTAAGCCAATCTGTTTGTACTGTATAACCTGCCTGTTACCCAGGGACTACACTCCACCTGTCTGAATCATAATGGAGGATAAACTAATCATGATGCTGCAGCACAACACAAAACCACTAAGTATACCAAAAATAATATGCACAGTGACACCTGGTGGATTAAACTCTTTAGCCATTTATTGTGGCAAACCCAGTGTTTTGATTGTTCTGCTTTATCTGAAGCAGCGAGAAAAAAATCTAAAATCTTTATGTAGATTAAACAACAAAAACACTCCTTAGCCCAAAAGCAAGAACAAAAAGTTGATTTCTATGGTGCCTTACGGTTGAATGAGTTGAACTCACTTTTGTTTTTTTCTACACCGAGTCCTGAGGGTTTTCTCAGCAGCTGCCTCCTCAAAGTGGGTTTGCTTACGGCCGCCATGATGGTGGAAAGAATCTGTTGTTCTTTAACATAAACCTGAACAGTGGGTGAATAATGCTTCGTTTGGCTCATATTGTCCCCTCTGCTTTCCTCTTTCTGAGCCCTGCATCTGACTCACTGGCAGAACCAAAAAAAAAAAGGAAGTGCTACTTCTGTCCGTTTAAACATGTTTTGATGCATCTCACACATGTTTCATTAACCCTTCTGAGTCCAGCAGGCATGTTCAGCTCTTTGTCACATTCCTGCAAATACAGCCGTTACCTCCCACAAGATCTCAGTGAAAAAAGTGTGAATACTTTTGTAAGGTTTTCATTTTCAATAAACACGTGAAACGTTTACATTTGTTTTCATCGAGAATTGAATTATGTAAATCTATTGCAGAGACGTAAGCTTTACTGACTACAAAGAAGATTGATTTGAAACAAATTAACCAAATGTTAGCAGGGGGGCTTATTTATTTATTCATTCACTTATCATTTGCGTACTCCAAATAATGGAGGCAGCTTTTTAGAAGCAGCTGCAGCTGATTGCCACAGAGGGAGCAGCCAATCAGAATCATCTTCCGGATGAAGCCTTGCATCGCTCCACTTGGATTGTGATGCCGGAGAAACCAAACTTGGAACGAAGGAGCTTCGTTGCCTTCCTGAGGATGATCTGTGAATCCGCATCTTCCTCTGTGAAGACAAGACATTTTTGTTGACTATGACGAAGCGGGTCCTTCAACACCTTTGAGGCTCGTTTTACGCCTATCCACCTATAGCGATGTGCGCGGAAAGCAGAGAGTGATCCATGTTGAGGCTCCATGTGTGCAAGCGGTTGACAGCTTTGACTTTTCCCACGCTCAGCAGCTGCTCTCTGACGGAGCCGGCGCCCTGAGGAGCGCCTAAACGAGATCAACACGGGGGGGGGGCAGAAAGACGGCGCGGCGCCTGCTGTCAATAAGCTCCAGTCAGCAGCAACACAAGCGGAGCAAAGCGTTTACCTTCCATCAGTATCCTGAACACGTCCTTCGAGACGGGAAGTGTCGTCCCGACGACGACGACGGAGAACAGGAAGGTGCAAATGGGGTCTGCCACTTTATACTCGGGCTGTCGGCGAGAAAGTATATTTATTAGCGGAGGTCAACAATAAAGCACTAAAAGGCTAATTATGAAGTACTTTGTAAAAAACCTTTTATTCACATAACGACAAACCTGAGTTATGTAATTCGCTACAAACTTCTGACGTTTAGCTGTTCTTGTAGTTTTTTGTTTGATTTATTTTATTCTATCCAAGGACAGAATTACAGAATTTGTGCTGGTTTTACAAATTTATACAGAATACATCAACACCTTATTACCATAACTCATGTGCAAATTTGTTTTCCTAAATAAAGTGCAAAAAAACTGTCCTTTACAGGAAAATCTGAACAGTTTTGAGGAGGATCAGAGATATTACAATCCAAAAATGAACTAAAAATATACAACTTAAATATATATCCGATACGGACTTGATATTGACTTTGTTGATATTCTATATAGATCCACCTACTTTTATTTAACGGTCTATGGCAAAAACAATGCATAAAAGTTAAGCGTCTGTTTTCAAATTCAACAAAATATGTTGGCATTTATAGTGGCAAAATGCAGGAAAAGTCAAGGGGTAGAAATACTTTTCCAAACCAAAAGACACAGCAGGTCTTCAGTCAAAGTCAAGTTGTGAATGAGAAGCTGGGAGGATGAGTCTGGACACGTTACTCTGCTCTGGGATTTCCCTGAAACTCGCCCAGAAGTGAATGACGGCAGCAGCCAGCAGGACGCCGACGCTCTGCAGCAGGTCGCCCAACACGTGGACGAAGGCCGCCTTCACGCTCGCATTGCCGTGGTGACCACCCCGAGTCCGTTTGTCCCCCTGCGCCACGTTGACCCCGTGGTTGTGGCCATGCGAGGCACCAGACTGATGAAGAATCAGAACCATCCTGCGTGAGTTAAAGGTCCACGTTAGTTTCAGGGTTCGCACAGTTTTCCCAGCACCACTTTGGAGATAAAGACAATCCAAATGAAGTAAAAAAAACAAAAAAACGACTTTCAATTTATTATCACAATACATAATCTATTACTGTTATTATTAATGTCCACAGCAGCCACCAAGAAAACTAAAGTATAACATTTATGTTTGGACATGTCTCACATCCGACACACATCAGGAAGTTATTGAGCTGTTAGGAAAAATAGTTACATAACAAATCAGGTTAAAATAAATGATGTTCCTCCCCAAACAAAATCCTAAAGCACAAGATGCAAAGGAAGTCACAAGAAAAAAAAAATCTAAAAATATGGCACTAATTTTTTTAGCAGTTAGCAAACAGGAATTATCTTAGTAATCCAAACTGACCTAAAACAAGAAAAGTTTAGTTTGACTCAACTTCAGACTTTTTATTAGGTGCATGAAAATGTCTGGTAGATGACGTTTTCCAAATTCAGGCTTTTTAATCAAACACTAGACTGCACTTCACTACAAAACTGTGCAGAAAGAAAATCCAGCACTTTCGAGGATTTGAAGCACCTGTGGGGAGCCCGAGTTTGACAACAGGGTTTGTTTGGCCAGTATAATCACGGCTCACTCACAGGACGTTGACGAGCACGGCACAGGCCGAGGTCACGAGCATGATCCGACCGTCGATGTCGTAGTCGCCCTCGGCGATCCTCTGCGTGGCTGACAAGACCAGAACCGCCGTCACGGCCCAGACGGACACGATGGAGAGGAACATCCCCAGAATCTCTGCACAGCCAAACAGCCGAGTCTTTAAATGTGTGAAAGCTCAGATGTTACTGAACATTTGTGATGCTGTTTCGCTTCCGACAAGAATCGGCAGATTTGAAGTAAACTGTAAATGGGCAATCAGCTGGTAACAGCCGGACTCTGACAGAAACAAGAATTACAATAGAATTATTTTGCTGCTGTTGATTTTTGTTAAATGGATATGTTCAAAAAGTACATCCGCATCAACTTTTATCTCAACGTATTGAAAAGCTCTACATTTTCAGTCTTCAAATTACAGTAAAAGAAACCAAAAAATTGTGCACGTTTTCACACCACTTGATGGAAAATCTGTCATTTTGCCACAGAAAGCTGGCAGCTCTTGCTCAGTCCCACCTGCTCGGTGCCAGCCGAAAGTCATGGTTTGAGTTTGAGGCCTGGACGAAACCTCCAGGGAGAAGATGCTGATCACGATGCTGCCGAAGTCCGTCAGAAGATGCGCCGCGTCCGTCATTATGGCCAGACTGTGAGCCGCGTATCCGCCTGGAGGACGCAAGAAAAAGTGAAAATTAAAGCATCTTATTGTTTTCATGTCAGCTCAAACCTCATCAGTCCCGATACTCTTCCCCATTTCTTTTAAACACGAGAAGATAAATCCAGCATGTTCAACAGAATTCACAGGAAATAAAAGAGCCACAGAAATCAGGAAATTACTTGCATCTCACCGATCACCTCTCCGGTCATAAAAACGAGGCTGACTGCGCACGCGACGAGGAGCTTCCTTCTGGCCACACGTCTCGTCTTATTTTCAGACTTTACCAAGTCGCTCAACTCCTGCTCCACGCTGCAGTCATCTTCGCTGAGCTCCGAATCTGAATCCCTAATCCCCGGAGGACTCGACCTGCCAGGTTAACGCAACATTTCAGCCCACACTGGAGAAGCAAATCGTGCTGAAAAGTCGAGACGAGACGGTACCGGGCACCTTGTGAGAGGCTCCAGGTAAGTCTCGACGAGGAGCTGCGTTTCCGAGTCAGACGGCGGGTCCATACTTTGTTTTTGTCTTTGAGGTGGAAGTAAAGCTTGGAAACCTGGCACCTGTTCTAACACGCGTTATCTGGCAAGGGTGGAGCGATACAGGAGCCAATGATGGGTGCAATACAAAAAACAAAACAAAAAAAACACTCACATATTTTCATATTAGCCCAAAAATTTATTTCATCATACATTTATGTTGCTTTCATTTTACAAAACACTAAAAAGTAGAAAAATATTTGGAACATTGAGGCAAAAAAAATAAAAATCATTTAATCTTCTAATAAAAATGAAAGAAACAACAGGATAAGAATATATTCAGGCACTTCAAAGTCATTTCCAGGAATTATACAGACTTTTTTTTAATAATTTCATGCAGGCAGTAGGAGAGAGTACAGACCCTTGGCATATCCAGACACGAGGCAAAAAATTATTATAAATATAAAAATATACTATGAACCAAGTCAGAAATATAATTTAATGTTACCGCACTGCCAAAAGAAAAACAGGATCAAAAAAATGCACCTTTTAATTCACAGAATAATTTACAATATACACCTCAAAAGAAAAAAAGAAAGTTTTGATCCCATCACCAGATTTATGGTTTAAACAAACCAAAAACAAAACTGTGTGCAAGTGCAGATATTTTGTGAAAATGGTGACATTCACCAAACATTTGGACACGGAACATTCCTGTTGTAGTGATGGCTCATTTCAAAATGACCCTGCTGCAGCAAATTACCTTCAACACCTTCAATAAAGCAGTTACCTTTTGGTGTCATAACTACACCTACAGTGCCCAATAATAAACGCTGCAGCTTACTAGTTAAGAGAATCAGAAGCAGAATCCTTTACTTAATTAAAAATTCTAAAAACAAAGTGTGCCTCTGGCTCCCCCTGCAGGCCAGTTTTTGAAGCGTCTCCCTGAGACAAGATAAAAACTTCACTTCTCTCCAAACTACAACCTTTCAGCGCAAACTACGGTGTTGTTGCTAAATAAAGAAGCGACACAGAATGGTGACGGATAAACGTTTTTAAACAAGTTACAATTTCAAAACCAGGAACATTTTTCCATCATGTCTTTCTAAACGTTTGCAGAGCAGCCCAACATCTTAACCCAGCTGGTGCTGCACCCTGGTGGTTAGGAGGCTAAAGGACCACGCCAGCAATTTGGATGTTTGGGAACATTTCTGGTCACAAAAACAGACAAAAGCAAGCTACGAGTAGCATGTATTATTGCTCGATGGCAGGATGAGCTGGCAGCGTGGCTAGATGGCAAAAATGGATGTTTCCTTGTAACCAGCCCCTAGATTTTATGGCTTTACATCAAAATGAAAATAAATACATATTATCGATACCGCTTTATTTCTGCGAAACTGCCGTATTTCATCATATCGTGATAATCTCATACGGGCCCATGAGTGACACCGATGACCTCGTCAAGCCATAAACGAATAAATAATGCAAACGCCTTTTTACGCCGTCTAATTAAAGTTTACCTAATAAGAAGGTGGAAGTAGCTGGCTGCAGCCGTTCTGGCTTTCTGTGTAAGTTACATAAAAACATCATATTGAGTGAAGTTGATTAGAAAAGACATTTGAAGTATAGATAAACCAGCATCACCTGACAGAGAAACAGCGGATGCGTCGACCCAAAAGTCATCAGGTCATTTATTCCTACGTTAATATTTACAGGAAGACAAGTGGTTGGCCTAAAATAGTGTGGATAATAAGAATTAGCCTGTTAAATATATGTATATCTATTTAAAAAATAAAAAGGTCCACATGTAGGAATCCTGAGCGGAGATGTTTTCAGACCACTTTGGCAACTTTTACACTAACCTGTGAGTTTAAAGTACACAAACAAAAAAAACAACAAGTTTTTTGAGAGATCAATGGTTTTGAACACCAAGGCTTTGTCATTAAAAAAGAAAAAAAAAAAAGCCATGGCAATACCATTATAAAGCATGATTCATGTAAACAAAAAGGCCCGATACGTTTCCTGTGCGTTGGTTTGAACGCCAGCAGCTGGTGAGATCTCAAGTTCACACAAAGTCCCAAAAAAATGAAAATAAATAATAATAATGTGAAGCTGGCCTTCTTAAAGACTCACTCATCCATGGATTTATTCACTCATTCGCCATGTTGCGTCTCTGTGCAATGGTTGACTGAGGCTGAATCACGATCGGTGCGTTCTCACCTGCAAAAAACCAACACAAAGACACAAACTGTTTGTTCCCAACAGTCAAGGTATCTGCAGATCGGAGCGCTGAATGCCACAGACATGATTATATGCCAGAGGAAATTAAGCTTGAAGATTTGTGATTGGATGCCTAAAATTTGCATGCATTTGAAAATTAGATCTATGCTCTCCGTTCCCACAATCGGAATAAAAAATACATAAAGATGGCCCTGCATAAAGCTCAGTTTTCTGACTACCAGTCATTGTGAGGAAACTATGCAACACACACACATTTTCAGTCAGATGAAAACATTTTTTCTTGTTTTTTTTTTTTAATTCTAGGTGATTTTGAGAGAAGCTGAATTTTGAATTTTCATTAGCTGTAAAATAGATCTAAAATTAACAGAAATGAACACTTCTAAAAATCGTTTGTGTGGAAAAAATGCAAATACAGAATGAAGCTGGATGACTGGAGTTTGGTGTAATTCCAGTTTCTTGCTGCCACATGTTGATGTGCCCCTAAGCAAGCCACTTAACCGTTAGTTACCTTCCAGTTTCCATATAAAATACAACAATGCAATGGAAATGAAACATAAAGAACACCAAGATACCAAAGCATAACACAATACAGCTGAGGACAGAGCGTAAGCAGCAGAATCGTCCATATTGTCGAACTTTAAACTTTAAAGAAAAGGAGGAAGACAATCTGTGGCGTTTATTGTCATAATGATAAAAAAAAAAAAACAATCATAATGTGAAAAGTCTTAAATCATCTTTTTGGGAACACTTTCCCCACTGCGCTTGCACTTGAGAAAAACGTCACAAGTTTACCCTCATCATCCTTTTCCGCAAGAATTAGATATGAATCAATTCATCTTTCTGGTTCTTTTCATTTACAGATTAAAATATAAAAATGAGTCGATTCTTTCTTCGGATGCATTTTATCGTGAGCAGCAAAAAACAAAAAAAGAAAAGCCTCTGGCAGCTCATCAAGATGATTTCTGAATCACCTCAATTAGTCGCTCGTTATCTGACATGGAAGTAGCACAAGCGGGTCACATGGATCTGCAGCGTCATATTTGGTGATATTTAACTAGCGCTGCGGTGCCCTTTGCTTTATAGCGGACCATAAACATTGACAAAAAGGAATGTTGGAAGGTTTTCATACAACTGACCAACACAAAGTAGTTCAGCCCCTTTTACTCTGATGCCAAACGTCACAACAATAACATTGACATGACAATACTAATTGGAGGGAATGTAATTTCTGCTCTTCTTCTACCGTTTTTGTCTTATGAAAGCATTGTGACACATAAAGCATAAAATCAGCATAAAAGCAGACAGGAAACAGCTCGGCCAGTTGAATGAAGCAGCAGAGAGCCGACGGGAGATCAAGGTTACATGAGGAGGAACGACGGTTACCTGAGGTCTGAGAGGAGCTGGGCTCAATAACTATTATGTGGCCTTGTGCTAGAAAACACAATTTAGTATTATAAAAATATTTTTTAAAATACATAAAATGTCCAAATTAAAGAAAAAAAAATCCTTCATTGAATAAGAAAAAATGTTTTTTTTTCTTGCTAATGTTTAGCGATTTAACAATGCAAACCAAACAAATGCTCATTGTTAAAAATTATATTTCATAATTTAAAACTTTCCAAAGATAAAAGTGGCATGTTTTCATCCTTCACAGCACAACATCAATCAAATCCCCAGAAACGAACCCGGCAGTCCCTCACCTTCTTCCTGCTCTCTGAGCTCCGCCTCCAGGTCTTCTGGGTCGATAATGGGATGCTCTTCTTCCTCTCCCGTTTTGCACTTTCCACAGCAGAAGCAGCAGCAGCACAAACAGCAGCAGCAGGTGAAGAGGGTGCAGCAGCAAAACAGGGCCTGAAAGACATGAATGTTACACGTACTCAAAACTAGAGGTCACTGCTCTGTAAATCCTCTGGCTTGTTCCTTTGGGGCCAGGCCTCACCTTGAACCACCACTTTGACATGAGGAAATAATATTTGAGGCCATCTTCACCAAACTGCTCGGCCAAAGAGAGGCCCAGGGAGCCATATTCGTCGTAGATTTTACGTTTGTTCTCGTCGTTCAGGATGGCGTTGGCATTGTTGATCTCCTTGAACTTCTCCGCAGCAGCTGGGTTGTCTGGGTTCTTGTCAGGGTGATACTTCAATGCCAATTTCCTGAAGGAACATTCGTATTATGATTTAGGTAGCGTGAAACACAAATGGCCTTGGATCAGCATGACTGAATTGCAGGCATAAAAGTTACCGCCGGCAGCACAAGCAGCAGCTAACTTATTAAATGGTTCTAAGAAGAAGGATTAAGACGTTTGGGACTTTAACCAATCCAATGCGTCTCTCATGACATGTGATGCAGGATCGTTAGCTTTGTGCTAACTTTGACTGGAACCTCAATTCCAAAGGATCATTAAGAGATTTAAAGTACTAAAAAGAATATGGGAAACATATTTTGTAACCCACATCTGAAGTTATGCTTTCTTTTTGATAATATTTTACAGACAAACTAAGCACACTATGTATCTGTGAAAGAGTTAAATAGTAGAAATTAATGAAGGATGGCTGGTGGAGCTACAAGACAGAAAGAAAAAACAACACCAGGTTGTGCATTAACCAGCTGCCAATCATTCACCAAATAGCTGCTAAGAATAGGACTTTTTTTTTTTATTGGATTTTGGTTATTTCTGCAGCAAGTCTTAGCAACTTTAGCAGCATGATCTTAAAAAAAAAGAAAGCATGCATTGTAAAACTTAATGATAAAATCTTAAACATAGTCTTTATAGTCTCTTTTATTCTGATTTGTGGCAAGATGTCACCACTGTTATAGTGAAATTGTGAATTAATTTAGTCTCTTTCACATCCATTTGGGGTCCATTCTTTGCTTTCTATTTCCTTTTTACACACGTGAATAAATAATTTTGTCAATACAAACAAAACTTGCCACTCTATACCATTCCTAATGACACGTTGCAGCCACAGTGTGCTTTCTTAACCAAAAACTGTTAAAATGTGGCCATATTAATTTTAATATGGCCACATTTTAACATCTAATTATTCTCACATAATTGAATCATGCCAATAATTAATATATGTGACTTGTGAGTCAGTTACTTGTAACAAATTAAATTATTGAGAACCCTATTAGCCACGTCAATAGCGGTCAATTTGCGAACATCAATAACTAGCGAATAATAAACTTACCGATAAGCCTTTTTTATCTGGTCGGGGGTCGCTCCTTTCTCCAAACCCAGGACCAAGTACAAGCTTTCTCCGGCCCTGGACATTTTTCTCTGAGGCATGTTTGGGTCCTCCATGCTTTAATAAACTGTGACAGAAACGCCAACACACACGACATTTACCAACAAACACGACATTTATCAACACACACGAGCTGCAGTTTCAAACCCCAGGTAAGGAAGTCAGCACACAGAAACCATGTTGCAACGAGACCGTCCTCCGAGTCCTGACAACACCTTTGTACACGCAAACTGCGGTTCAACAAGTTCTGAGAACATTATTCTGACTCGAGTGTTTTAAAGGTTTGTGTCACTTCACGCTAAACCCTGTGAGCTTCCACTGAGCCCCACGACGTTTCCGGTAAATGTCACAAAATGAGACCTACCGAAGGTGGAGAGGTTAATGTCCCAGGCGTCCGTCGAAACATAGAGTCCGACAAAAAACTCTGTCTGAAATTTATAGCGACTATTAGCAACTTTCTGAGTGAACTTCCGAAAGGGCCCGGAAGATTTGAGGCAGAAATGAACTCTGGGTAAGAAAAAGGGGGTGGGAGGAAGAAAACGGAGTCATAAAAGGAGAGAGGGAGGTTCCTGCTCGAAGCACCCAACGCCAAACGTCACATGCTTTAAACCTGTAATCTAGATTATCAATCTTAATCTAGAGGTGAAGCAATATTTTAATCCTTACAGAGCCATAGAACATGCTAAGCACACACATGGTATGTTTTATTATTTAGGTGGAACCTTATAATTAAGATTAATGACACTTAGTTTATAATTTGAATTAAAGGACAATACATTCAAGTTGAGTCACGTTGTAAATCCAGTGTTGCTCATCTAAATTAATACATTTACAATTGGAAAACTGCTTCTACTATTTATAGGTTATTTTTGTGTTAATTTATGATGAGTCATGTTTTTGTTTTTTTGTTGTTTTTTTTTTTAGCTGTTGCCAACACTGTTGTCACAGTATTCAATTGTTTTAATATGGCATTTACCTTTTGTTAAGGTTATTACCAGAGGCAAAGTTTTCTGATTTGAAAGCCAAACTGAATTGAAAGCAAGATGGTTCTCTTCCATTTTACTTTCAAAATGGAAAGTGAAATTGGCAGCAGTGTAGACAGCTGCTGCCAAGTAAAATTCCTGTGCTTATTAACTGGGGATTGCTCTAACAACAGGTCTCAGTCCTCAAGGGCCCTTGTCCTGCAACGTCTTGATGTGCCTCTGCTGCACCACACCTGAAAAGAATAATCATGTCATTTAGGGTCTGGAGAACTGATCTACACAAGGAGGAGGTAATTAAGCCATTTAATTCCTGTGTTTTGGACCTGTGGCACATCTAAAAACTGCAGGACAGTGACCCTTGTTTTATTTATTTTACATCTTGTAAAACATAAAGTTGTTTATGAAATTGGGTTTGCAAAAGCACAGTTATATTCACTCCATTTTTGGTCTTTGCTTTTTTTTTTTTTTTAGTTCTTAGATTGTACAACTTTTTATAGACTTTATATTCTATGTACAGATTTCAGCAAACAAATATTAAGCATCAAGTGTCAGGAAATCCTCCTTTGCAGAATAAATTATACAGCAGAAAACCACATTTAGCCCATTTTATTATTCATTGAACCACATCTCAATGTTGTAGAATTCATTAACTCTGGCCAAATAAGCACTTCGCAGCTGTGTTTCAGTCAAGGAGCCTCCTCACTTTGTGGAGTCACAGCGACAACAATTTTCCCCATGTTTCTGTTTGCTTCCATGTGTCTGTGAGCCTCCGCGATGTCCTCCAGCTTATACGTGCTGTCGATCACTGGCCTCAAGGTGGCAGGCTGCTCCGAGAAACACGGCAACGCTCTGTCCGCAAAGGCTCTGACCAGGTCCGCCTTGTACTGTAGAGGACACATACGCATGAATTACATTACAGTGACCTACACAGGAAGTCCTTCAAGTGCAACACCCAAAGTTTGCAAATTTCGGAACATCGGACACCAGGAAGGAACAGAAAGAACAAAACTTTCACCCTTGCACAACAGATGTGGCTGCAGTGCAGGAAATGAAACGAGCAGCTGTGACGTTTCTCACCTGAAGGCTGCGAGAGCGGAGGAGGCTGCAAAGTAAGTGGCCTCGCTTGGACAGCAGCTTGCCCAGCAGGTCTCCCTCCACTGCCCTGCCTCCCATGGTGCCGTACAGCACCCATCTGCCGTCCACAGCCAGCGAGCTCACGTTCTTCTCCCAGTTACTCCCACCGATGCAGTCGAGGATCACATCCGCTCCTTTTCCTGCCAAGTTACCACAAGATACTGCACTACTGGGGATGGAAGTCATCGACTAATGAGTTGATCTAATCCTGATTGATCTTATGGATCGACTGAAGATTAATCGATGAGTGGCCATTAAGAAACATGTGAAACACTAAATGCAGATATTTACATCATACTGAAAAACAATTCTCCCAGACTTTAAGAGCCGTTTGCAGAGCGTCACATTTACCTCCTGTGAAGTCATGGACTCCCTGAATAAAGCTCTCCTCCTTGTAGTTGTATCCAGCCGCTGCGCCCAGCTTCTCGGCCAGCTGCAGCTTCTCTCGGCTCCCCGCTGTCACGATGGGCACGGCGCCGAACAGACGGGCCAGCTGGACGGCAGCCGTTCCTACACCGCTGGCTCCGGCGTGAACCAGCACCACCTCACCCTGCTTCACCTGCGCTGCGGTGGAAAACAAAAGATGGGACACATGGAAATGAGTTATGGTTTTTTTTTTTTTTGTTCTTTAGTACAATAACTCATTCAAAGGGCGTGAAATTACAAGCTGGATATGTAAACTCCAAGAACACAAAATCTTACAGCATACTTTTGGTCCAGTTTCAAGTGCAAGAGTCTTAGTACTTAACACTATTTCTCTTATAACAAAGGACTAAATGTCTTTGTTATAAGTGAAACAATCTAGTTTCTTTTATGAAAAAACAATTTTTTCATCAATATTAAGAATTTATTGACAAAAAATAAGCTCCTAAATCTTGCAACAAAAAACGTTACTTGTACAATATTTGCACTAGAAACTAGACCAAAGTGACTGTAAGATTTTGTGTTTTTCCAGAGTATTTGTAGTATTTTGTAAAGGCACCTGTGCTCATAGAAGCTTTTCTCATTTTGTGATGTTAAATCCTCAAACTTAGCTGTATTTTCTCATGATTTTATGTGTGAGACCAACTCAACATAGTGCACAATTCAAAGTTATGTACTTTCAGCAGAACAACCATAGAGCAAGAGCTTTCTATTGGTTTTAGTCCAAAAGTATGAGTTAGAATAGTCTAGTTAAAGTCCTGACCACAGTACCACTTTGTGTTGGTCTTTCACAATGAAGTGTTGAAAAACTTCAACAACTGAAGTACGAATATTTTCCGTGAGGTTCTGTGATGCACCTTGTGTCGGTCCGTGTTATCTAATCACATTACTGTCTTTATGAGTGTACCTATGAAAACCAGCAGCTGAAAAGCGGTGAGCCAAGCCTCCGGGATGGCAGCAGCCTGGCAGAACGTGAGATTGTCGGGTGCCGGTATCAAAAGCTCCTCGGGAACAGAAACATATTCAGCATATCCTCCTCCAGCCAGCAGAGCCATCACCCTGTCGTCTGGTTTCCAGTTCCCCTTCACGCCTTGACCCAGACTGTCCACCGTTCCAGCAACCTCCAGACCGATTATGTCGCTCTCACCCGCAGGAGGAGGATACAAACCTCTTCTCTGCAGAGGAAAAACAAGATGAGGTGCAAAAATCTCCTTCAATCCAAACCACAGATTCCTGCTCTTGAACGTGCATCTAATTTGGCTAAACCTGTAACAAGTCGGCCCTGTTGAGGGCAGCTGCGTGGACTTTAATTAGGACCTCGCCGTCTTTAGGTGTAGGTCTGGGGATGGAGCGCAGCACCAGATTCTCTGGTCCTCCGGGGACATCAACACAAACTGCCCGCATCATCTTTGCAAAGCTCGAGCAACTCTTATTCCAGCTCTACAAAACACAGCAAACAAGTAATTCAATTGATCGTTAGGTTTTCATTTTTACACAGTTCCTTCATCCGTCTATATACTTCCATAGGAAGTGTTATAGAGTTTCATCCACTTACCGTGTTGCAGGTTTTTCTTAGCATAAAAATCCCAGTTTGAAGAAAGTGAGGCATTTTATAATTTCAGGATGTAATGTGATCAAAGTAATAATGAAGTGTTGGAAAAAAAAATTAAGAGATGAAATGAACATTGAAAATGACATGCAGTCAAATTATATATAGGCTATATAAAAAGTAATATATATATATTACTTTATATAAACTAAACAGAAGCCTGATTTAGAAGTGATCAACTAAAAGTGAGAATTTAAATGGAAGACGCTTCTAGCAGTCTGATGAATAAAAGGGTGGATGCGTGTGTGTTTTTTGGACACTTCTGCTTCCCGTACCGCATAGTGTGCAGTGGGGATGGAAAAGGCAGCGAATAACGAAACTATAAAGCAGAAGAAAGAAATGAATGAACCAAAGGCCGAAACGCAGAAGGGAAACAACAAAACAAAACAACAAAAAAAAAACCCCTGTAGTAATTTAGTTTCAAAATGACACGGTTACTACAGGTTAATACGCAGTGCGCATGCGCTGAAGTAAAACCACTTTCGAGTGTTTTTGATTAAAGCAATGCAGCGGACAACTCTGGTTTAGTAACTTGTTCTACTGAGCGGCGAAACGTACAGATAATCCACGCAAACCAACCTGAAGCCGGTTAGTTTCCGTGTTGAAAATAACTAAATGACGAACTCACCAAGCAGCGATGGAAATATTCGCTCTGAAGAGAGTCTTTTGGGAAGTTTTATGGCTGGAGTCCAGTTCTGCGCAGTTCCGGCCACCCTCCTCCAGGGGGCGGCAGTGTAACTAACCTGCCCACATAGGCGTTAAAGGAACATTTCGACGAAATGCAGCTTTTTACCTCATGTTTTAGGAAGGATATTGGGGGTGAAAAATGTAATCTAATAACAGATAAATAATAGATAATCCTGCTGTATTGTTTCTAAAGGTGAAGATAAAAAAACTTGAAGAGTTATGTAAAAATGTTATTTTTAAATACCAAAACACAAACCTACCCATATTTTCAATATTTCTTAGTTATTCATAACCCTCAACGTTTTTCACATTTTGTCCCATAGCAGCAGCAAACTTCCCTGCATTTTATTTTGATTCTATACAGTGAATTATTGTGCTAGATACTATTTTGAGGGAAGGACCCTTCCAACCTTAAAGACTTGGAGCTCTAAAGATCTCTAAAGATAAATGATTAAAATACCAACGTTAAAATGCAAAAAGCTTGTCAGGGACAATAAATGGGTTTGATACCTATTGTTATATTGGTTATTGACAAGAGTATAAAGAAATATCTTAATCCCATGTTCAATAAAATGTAAATAAAAGCCTTTTTTAAAAGAAAAAAGGTGATACTTATTTCTCTTTGACAACTTCCAACCTTTTGTTTTTTCTT